GTCTGGTACAGGTGGGATTTGTTTACGTTTTCGAGGCGAGGTGTCCGCCATATTGGATTTACCGTTATACTACCCCTTGGGATTTCAACAGCATTTTTCATACCAAGAACGGTTTTGACAGATTGGCATATATATATACTTATTTTAAGGGATAATTACTGAACATTTGTATATAATTTTGATGGATGTACTCGGTTTTATAAGGAAATTGTCGCTTCTGCAATATTTCACAATCTCCGCTCCTTGCGTTTCCGCCATGATATTTGTAATATAGACTGTAGTAAAGTGACGAGGGATATCGAAGATAAAATTCCTACCATGTATCCATTTCTATAACATGGACAAGCACGATAAATCACCGTTCTTCCAATGTTATAAAAGTGTGACGAAATTTTGGCGCGGCGCGAAAAATCAATTGGAGTTATCTCCCCTTAGCTTGGGCATAGCTACATTTGGACTAGTGAACCCATAATTTTAATAGTCCAACTGTGAATTTGCTAGTCCAAATTACAGACTGGTCTTTTTTACAGCATGAAGTTTAAATTGTGATCTAAATTAGGAAATTATTAGAAATCAAAACAAAATGTCTCTCAATAATTAACTTAAGAAACGGAGCATGGCCGGAACGTGATCGCCAATTATCCCTTATACAGGATTACTGCTGTTTCCATCGAGCTTTTAAGCACTATAGCCAGAACCGTACATTTTTCTTTCATGTTGGAGCTTTTTTTTTTTTGTCTGTCCACGGACAGGCTTAGCTGGGTTGAACCTTTCCTCCAACTTAGCAACATCGCCATGGTTGGTTTCACGTGGTTATAAACCAGAACTACTAAAATCCGGAACCCAGTCTCGCAATCGCTTATCGAAGCTTCGACGAACACCGTATTTTACCATAGGATTAAAACTTGTGACAAGCTTTATAGCGCAAAATATATACCATTAATAATATTTTCATTATTTTGGAGGAAAATTGCCACTAGTCCAGTCGGACTAGTTAAATATTTTCAATACTAGTCCAGACTAAAATTTACTAGTCGTGGGCATCGGACAAGTGCCTAACGTCGCAGACTGAATGTGTTGATCGTTGGCGACCAGGAAGCTCAATTGGTAAAGTGCATGTGTTCGTCAATAGTTTGGAGTGTCACCGGTTTGAACCCTGGTCTGTTCTTGCATTTTCCTTATATCCTGTGATCATGACAGCAATGACGGTAACCAACCCTTGTTTCAACGCATGGCAAGGGGATTCCCAGACATCGATACCCAGACATCAGTTGTAAATAGATGTTTCTATGACGATGGCGAAGACTTACAAACAGGAGGGAGGAATGTTTAGCAGAACAGTTTCAACTACACTGGGTTGAACGTCAGCGACCAGAATCGAAGCTCAATTGATAGAGCGTCTGTCTTGAGTTCAGAGGGTCCTGGTTTCAAACCCCGGTCTGCCTGTGCCTTTTTAGCCCACCATCATCTGATGGTGGGCTATTCAAATACTCTGCGTCCGTCATCTGTCCGTAAACAATTCTTGTTATCGCTATTTCTCGGAAAGTACTAGAGGGATCTTTCTCAAATTTTATATGTATGTTCCCCTTAGTCCTAAGCTGTGCAGGGCAACTTTTGAGACTGATCGGATAAACAACATGGCCGACAGGCAGACATCTTGGATTTTGATAGTGAAAGTTTGTTATCGCTATTTCTCGAAGTACCAGAGGGATCTTTATCAAATTTTATATGTAGGTTCCCCTTTGTCCTAAGCTGTGCAGGGCAATTTTAGAGACTGGTCGGATAATTAACATGGCCGACAGGCAGCCATCTTGGATTTTGATATTGAAAGTTTTTTATCGCTATTTCTTAAGAAGTACTCTGGAGCGATCTTTCTCAAATTTTAGATGTAGGTTCCCCTTTGTCCTAAGCTGTGCAGGGCAATTTTTAAGACTGATCGGATGAACAACATGGCCGACAGGCAGCCATCTTGGATTTTGATAGTGAAAGTTTGTTATCGCTATTTCTCGAAGTACCAGAGGGATCTTTCTCAAATTTTATATGTAGGTTCCCCTTGGTCCTGAGCTGTGCAGGGCAATTTTTGAGACTGGTCGGATAAACAACATGGCCGACAGGCAGCCATCTTTGATTTTGATAATGAAAGTTTGTTATCGCTATTTCTTGGGAAGTACGGGAGGGATCTTTCTCAAATTTTAAATGTAGTTTCCCCTTGATCCGTCGTTGCGTATGTTATATTTTGAGACTGATCATAAAAACAAAATGGATTAAAAGAAGAACTAAACAGATCTTTTTCATATTGCAATGATCGATTCTATTTCTTTCACATTAAGTACTGTACTAGTAAATATGTGAAATGACAAACTCACTTTGAAGGTTGGCTTTCATACACATCAGTATTAAGTTTAGATCAAAAGTTACCTCAAGGTGCATTTACTGTTAACATGACTCGATCAAACAGATTAGAGGAAAGAAGAGAANAAAGCTAAGAAAAAAGAGGGAGGTATGTAGAGAAACTGGTCTTGGGTCATTCATCAATGACAAGGTAGCCAATTGGTATCTAGCATTTGTCTAGACTTCTGAGGATCCTAGGTTCGAACTTCGGTCTGGCCGTGCAGATTTCCTCTCCTGTTACATTACATTAGTAGTATATTGCCATTTTGATATGCTTTAAAATTTGAATAAGTTTGGGTATGAGGTATGTAGAGAAACTGATCTTGGGTCATTCGTCAATGACAAGGTAGCCAATTAGTATCTAGCTTTCGTCTAGACTTCTGAGGGTCCTAGGTTATATTCGGTCTGGCCGTGCAGATTTCCTCTCCTGTTACATTACATTAGTAGTATATTGCCATAATGATATGCTTTAAAATTTGAATAAGTTGGCTGTTACAGGTTACTAATCAGGATTTTGAAGCGTTTGCATATGGTCAGTCATTTTGAGTGAACAAACTTATTCCCTATCGTACGAAAGTAACAGGAGAAAAAAGAGAAATGCATGGCCAGACTAAGATTTATTTAAACATCATGGGACCCTCCAAACTTCAGATGAACATTTTAACCAATTGATCATGAGCTTTCTAGTTGCTGGCATTCAACTGGTACCCTGTCCAGCTCAAGCTCTTCCTTTTCAAAAGTGTTTGACCTGAAGATATTACTATTTACAAACCCATATTAGGAAATTTCCTTGCCAAGTATTCCCCCCGTGCTCACAGCCACTCATTAAAAATGTACTTAATTCCTGTTTTTGGAGTCTGACCTGGGTTGATTGTCGGTGATTCGGTAGTTGAATAGGTAGAGCGTCCGAGAGTTCAGAAGGTCATAGGTTTGAACCCGGTCTGGCCGTGCATTATTCGATCTCCTGTTACAGTGGTGCCTGCAGCTGTCTGTGACCAACACTTGTTACAAGTAATGAGTGTATGCTTGGTAAGGGGATACCGGAACCTGGGTTGTAAATTGTTATGTCTTCAGGGGCGAAGACTAATAAAAAAAAAGGGACAAATGTAGCGGAATTGGAGTAGGTTGATCTTCAGCAACCACATAACTCATTTGGTAGAGAGTTGGTCTAGAGATCGGAGGGACCCGGGTTTGAACCCCGGTCAGGCAGTGCATTTTTACATTTCCTGTTACTCTTGAAGCTTATAATTATATACAGACAAATATTGAACAAAACACTTTATTTACAGCAATCCTTTTCTTTTTAAGCAAGAAAAATGGTAAAGGAAACTGCATACTACAAAATCCTTGGTGTTGAGCCAACATGTACACCTGAGGAACTAAAGAAAGCATACAGAAAACTTGCCTTGAAATACCATCCCGACAAAAACCCTGATGAAGGAGAAAAGGTATTGTATTCAACAAAAAATTGTGTAATTATGTGACACAACAGGGTTCTCCCCAGAATTTTTTTAAGCTGATATGTTTCATTTGCAACACACATTCAAGACGGACACGCTAGTATAATACCTTATCAAACCTAAGGGGGGGGGGGGATATTATATTATGTTTTAAAAGTTACTTTTATTTACCAAACTTCTTTTGGTGAACATTAAAACTAAAACCAAGGAAATAAATAAGTGTTTCTTATGTCTGAATTTTCAGCAATATTATTGTTTTAAATATTCTAATAAATAATACAATTTATAGAAACGTGTATGAGTTTTGTACATTGAATAATAGATATGACATTTGTGGCATTTGTCTCTTATCTTTACATTTGTATCCCTTACTTAATCCCCATTAAAAATTATTTAAAAGAAGAAATTAAAAGCTGTTTGTGCTATAGGGGGAAACACTTACATGAAAAAGTTTATATCATAGTTCTTTTTATTGTAAGAGAAAATGTTTTAATAGAATGTACAGTGTTTTTATTTCCTCCAAGACTGTATTAAATACTGCTGTCAGTAAATGTGATCATTTTATTTGAGCTCTTCTTCATTAAAAACGACAAATCCGGATTTTCATTCCCCTTTCCGGTTTCTACTTTTCACAATCCAAGATGGCGACCATCACTAACTGAATACACACGCTATTTCAGCGTTGTCAAATGCAATCATATGTGAGTAAATTAATTTATAATAGATGTATTAAGTGTTTGTTTTGTTAATCCAACAGTAGGTATCTCAATTAATCACCTATTGACCATGCTAAAAGGATCCGGTGGTAATTGCTTTAGGCTCCAGTGAGCACGCTTGCCGGACACCTATGGGCTTGTCGTCCGGTCCCCCTCCCCACTTATTAAAGGCCCCCTGTGGCAATACGCCTATCGTGCAACTGACCAGTGGGGTCATTGCTGGACTTGGGTCAGCCGTGTGATTTAATCAGCGTCAATTTCTTGTGTAAAAAGACCACATTCAGTACAAATAACAAGGTGATACGGTTCACAGTCTAAGGTGATACGGGTCAATTAAGCTGATACGGCAGGGAGGATTTCAAATTGAAGCTGATACGGAGCCGTATCAGCTAAATGGCCTGGGGAGAACCCTGCACAATATTTTTCAAAAATCTACTATTAAAATGAGTTAGAGAGAAAAATTGTCATTTATTTATTAACAAGAACACTAATCATGCTTTTAACTCATTTACCCCTGAAGACACATTTGAACTCTTCCAGTTCAAAGGTTGGAACAGTTCATTATGAAATTTCAGTGGCGAATGTGTTAAGGTAGGTAATTTAGTAGTGAATCAAAAAAATTAAAAGTAGTTTTTGTGGAATATGAATTTTGCATCCTACATTAAATTGAAGCATTGATTGATAGTTACAATTAATAAGTATATAATAAATTTACGAATTTCAAACTTAACCTTGATTGGTTAGTGTTCCTATTTCATTTAAATTGGTGGGACTAAGGAAATTTAAATAGATACTTCGGGAAACCTGAGATAATTTGATATAGATAAATGATAATAATATGCTTATGTCAGATTATCACATTTACTTAGTTAAGTCACACAATGACTTGGTTAAATCATGTTATAGTAAGTGTTTCTGGTATCCTGCATGACCTACCCTTGATTTTCACGCCGACCCTAGACATTTCATCACCTACTTTGTCTAGAACTGAATTCTTAGCCAGGCAAGCTCACAGCCACTCATTAAAAAATGTACTTAATTCCTGTTTTTGGAGTCTGACCTTATTTTTGACAAATAAATCGCCATTGTTATGCAGGGAAAATCTTGGAATCTGAGAGCAGTGGGCCATTTCAGCTATTTTTTAGTCGATATCAAAAAAAATTGGAACATGCAGGGGTCATTTAGTTTTATGAATACATGAATAAAAAAATAATAATTCCGGCATGTTACCCAAAACATATTATCTATTTTTGGCCCTAACCTTGTTCCCTGTGTATCTTTGTCTAGTTGCTATCAGTCAAGTACTTTAAACATATATCCAGGTGAGCAATACTTGTTAATTATGTTTTGGCCTTAACCCTGTTCCCTGTGTATCTTTGCCTAGTTTTAAGCAATCAGTCAAGTACTTGAAACATATCCAGTTGAGCGATACAGGTCCTCTGGGCCTCTTGTTAATTATTTTTTGTTCTTACCATTGTTGCCTGTGTATCTTTGCCTAGTTTAAAGCAATCAGTCAAGCTTATGAAGTGCTGGCTGATCCAAAGAAAAGGGAGACGTATGACAGAGGTGGAGAGGAGGCCATAAAGGGAGGCGAATCTGGAGGGGGATTCAACTTCCATTCACCTATGGACATTTTTGACATGTTCTTTGGAGGCGGCGGTGGAGGCCGACGGGGAAGAGGCCCATCCAAAGGGAAAGATGTTGTTCACCAAATCAAAGTTTCCCTAGAAGACCTTTATAAAGGGGCCACAAGGAAGCTAGCACTTCAGAAAAATGTAATCTGTGATAAATGTGAAGGTATGTAATATTTTCTGTGATAAGTATTATGTCCTGTCAGACAAGCAATATGGTGATAAATGTAAACCATGATTTATTAATTTAAGTTCAATCAATTTTACTTAATTTTATAAAACCTTATTGGTAACATTCCTCAGGGTCCTAAATACAATGTACTGTCAGACAAGCAATATGGTGATAAATGTAAATAATGATTTATTAATTTAAATTCAATCAATTTTATTTTATTTTATAAAAACTTATTGGGAACATCCCTTAAGGTCCTAAATACAATGTACTGTCAGACAAGCAATATGGTGATAAATGTAAACAATGATTTATTAATTTAAATTTAATCGATTTTATCTTATTTTATAAAACCTTATTGGGAACATCCCTTAAGGTCCTAAATACAATGTACTGTCAGACAAGCAATATGGTGATAAATGTAAACCATGATTTATTAATTTAAATTAAATTACTATTATTCAAACCTTATTTGCAACATCTCTTAAGGTCCTAAAATCTGTAAAAATAAATAATAACGATTCCTTTATTTTCGCCACACTTGACTAAATCTGTATGTGTTGATTGTTGTAGGTCGTGGTGGGAAGGAGGGAGCAGTAGAGAAGTGCACACCCTGTCGGGGAACAGGTATGCAGGTGCGGGTACAACAGATCGGTCCAGGGATGGTTCAGCAGATTCAGAGTGTATGTGGAGATTGTCAAGGACAAGGCGAGCGCATCAACCCAAAGTACCGCTGTAAAAACTGTCAGGGACGCAAAGTCAATCGGGAACGCAAGATCCTCGAGGTCCACATCGACAAAGGTGGGTAAACGTTTGCCTTTGCTGGGATCATTCTAGACTTGATTCACTATCGTTTATGGGTAGTTTCCCCTACAGAAGAAAATTCCCATGTTCTTTAAAATTCCCCCTATGTACTTCAAAATTCCACTATTTCAAGAAGAAAATTTGTCTTCAAAATATTTCCCCTACATGTTTTCTTTAACTCTTTCCTTGGGGAAACGAGAAAACTTTCCTGGACATTTTGCTTTGGGACACGGGAAACGAGATAACTTGTTTTGGAAAACCCCTTTGTTCAACTTCATTGTATTAATAGCTATCAACCGTGAACCAATCAAATCACTTGTCAGGGGGATTCTATGTACACGTCATATCATTTCTGTGCGTTGATTAGTCAGTTTCAAGGTTAGCAAAGGTCATATTAAATGCTATTCATAAAACGAAAGTATTTCGTCAGAAAAAGGCGGACCAACAATTATTTTTTGAACAAATGCTTCGGGGATTTAGGTAGATTTAGGTAGTGAAGCCAATTTCGAACGGTATTGAAGTGGGATATATAATAGCATTGGAGTTAAATTATTATCCTACATTCGCTATGATTTATTTGTACAATGACGATGATATTTTGCTGGATCTAGCTTCGAGATAGAGACTGTACAGAATTGACAACAACCCGATTCCGCCATTATCGGCAACGCAGGTTTGAAAGTGAACATCGATAATGATGCACTGCCTTTGGAATATTTCTAACTCTTCATGTATGACAAATTGTTTTCAATTATAGTTATTGAAACAAACAGTATTTTTTTACCAATGTAGGGCTAATCGCGGCATAAATCGGAATCAATTTGACCGTATCAATCTTTGTTTATATTTGACATGTCTTGTCGGGACCACGTCGAGTCGGGACCGACATGTCAGCCTCGGAATTCGAATAATTATTTTGCCTGACAATTTTCACTGGAATTATTGAGAGATTTTCCCTTTATAATTATTGATAACAGATTCTCTAACACAGACCCAAGTTTTTGTGACCAAAATGACAGCACATAATCATAATCGGACTCAAAAACGCGTAGCATTGAATTACCTGTAATTAACACACCTGCATGGTTATATATGTATTTAAACTGACTGATTGAACTAATATCAAATAAACATCAAAATAAACATCAACATAATATGAAAGTGTGTGAATGTCTTTATTTAAAAAATATGAACAAACGATGAGCTATTATCAATGGACAAGACACTGAACATTTTACTTTGAGTTCACCTGTCTTACCTGGGTATTTATAAGCTGTATAGGAGCAGGTTATGTCATAGTTATTAAGTATGATATCAGAATAAGAGTTACTTGTCATCAAATGTCAACATGTAGTGCATTTTGATGAAATTAATGAAAATAACAAAGAAATTCTATTAATTATCAAATACTTTACCTGTCCCTCATCTGTACAGGTAGTTATAGGAAATGGGGGGAAATATGCACTGTAGACGTAGGACCCACTAGCAGGAAGGGTGGCCACAGACTAGAGCCTGAAAATGAGTGGGAAAATAAACACTAAAATAGAACTAAGACAGATATTCATCATTCATGTGGTAGTATTTTAGTTACAAGTGGAGAAATACCAAAATTAGAGAGGGGAATTTTCCCATATTTGGCCATAAATGATAAAAAGGCCTGTATGTATATATACATGTATCATGATACATATCCTATGATCAGCAGAGAAGCATAGCATGCTGCTGCTGATTTATAAGTTGTGTAGACACACCACCCCAAACAAACAAACCTATTTGGTGTGAATTGTAATGACACTTAGTGAAAGGGATGATTACTAAGTAATATATGGCTGCACTGGCCAATGAATTACTGAGACTAATACAATTTGATATAGAGAAAATTCACAGACTATCATGGTCAATGTTCAGTTTAACGTCACAACATGTCAGTGATGACGTTTTACAGACTCTTTAACAGGCTGCTTTCCCCTGGCTAAAAAGTGCTTTAATTTCCAAAAATGAAGAAACAAATCTGGAATATCTTCCCAATTTCAATAACAATAATGCCATATTTTCCCAAATCATGTAGGAACAGGCTGTTGTACAATTAAGGTTAAAAGATCACTGCCTGTAAATGATATTATATATATATATCAATTATAATTTTTGTATTAAAGTATAGCAAGAGTTTTTCACTTTCAGTAAAATGTGAATATATTTAACGATTAATATATTTATTTTGAAAGCTGCTTTTGTTTTGAGGTATGAAAGATGGACAGAATATCCGTTTCCATGGCGAGGGCGACCAAGAACCAGGACTGGAGGCAGGCGATATCATCATTGTTTTGGATGAAAAAGAACACCCAACATTCCGACGTCATGAGAACGACCTTATTATGGAAATGGAGCTGGGTCTTGTAGAGACACTTTGTGGCTTCCAGAAAACCATCCCAACGCTGGACGACAGAACACTAGTACTCACCAATATACCAGGTAGGCTCAGGAACACTGGACGACAGAACACTAGTACTCACCAATATACCAGGTAGGCTTGGTAACACTGGACGACAGAACCCTAGTACTCACCAATATACCAGGTAGGCTCAGTAACTCTGGACGACAGAACACTTGTACTCACCAATATACCAGGTAGGCTCAGTAACACGGGACGACAGAACACTTGTACTCACCAATATACCAGGTAGGCTCGGTAACACTGGACGACAGAACACTTATCCCCACCAATATACCAGGTAGGCTCGGTAACACTGGGCGACAGAACACTTGTACTCATCAACATACCAGGTAGGCTCGGTAACACTGGACGACCGAACACTTGTACTCACCAATATACCAGGTAGGCTCGGTAACACTAGACGACAGAACACTTATACCCACCAATATACCAGGAAGGCTCGGTAACACTGGACGACAGAACACTTGTACTCATCAACATACCAGGTAGGCTCGGTAACACTGGACGACCGAACACTTGTACTCACCAATATACCAGGTAGGCTCGGTAACACTAGACGACAGAACACTTATACCCACCAATATACCAGGAAGGCTCGGTAACACTGGACGACAGAACACTTGTACTCATCAACATACCAGGTAGGCTCGGTAACACTGGACGACCGAACACTTGTACTCACCAATATACCAGGTAGGCTCACTAACACTGGACGACAGAACACTTATACTCACCAATATACCAGGTAGGCTCGGTAACACTGGGCGACAGAACACTTGTACTCATCAACATACCAGGTAGGCTCGGTAACACTGGACGACAGAACACTAGTACTCACCAATATACCAGGTAGGCTTGGTAACACTGGACGACAGAACACTAGTACTCAACAATATACCAGGTAGGCTCGGTAACAGGACAGAACACTAGTACTCACCAATATACCAGGTAGGCTCGGTAACACAGGACGACAGAACACTTATACCCACCAATATACCAGGTAGGCTCGGTAACACTGGACGACAGAACACTTGTACTCATCAACATACCAGGTAGGCTCGGTAACACTGGACGACAGAACACTTGTACTCATCAACATACCAGGTAGGCTCGGGAACACTGGACGACAGAACACTTATACCCACCAATATACCAGGTAGGCTCGGGAACACTGGACGACAGAACACTTATACTCACCAATATACCGGGTAGGCTCAGTAACAGGACAGAACACTAATACTCACCAATATACCAGGTAGGCTCGGTAACACTGGGCGACAGAACACTTGTACTCATCAACATACCAGGTAGGCTCGGTAACACTGGACGACAGAACACTTATACTCACCAATATACCAGGTAGGCTCAGTAACAGGACAGAACACTTATACTCACCAATATACTAGGTAGGCTTGGTAACACTGGACGACAGAACACTTGTACTCACCAATATGCAAATCAAATTGCACTGCATCTCTCCATTTGAATCTGGTGAAAATTAACATAATACTCTGGCTATAAATAATGCTACCCCATCCAGTGATTTGTTTGCTCAATGTTACAGCTGAATACAGACAAAAAGCTGTTTCCCCTAGCTAAAAGGACCATATTCCCAAAATGACAAAAACTGAGGAATATATTCCCAATTTCAATACAAATATTGCTACATTTTCCTAATTCATAAAGGAACAGGCTGTTGTAATATTTAGGTAACAAAAACGCTGCCATCAGATAAGTGGCCATTGGCCTCTTGTTCTAGAAGACTTTACCCTAGATATCAGTGTTCATAGTAATTATACACAAGCCTGTCAATGTCAGAATATATGTGTAGATTGGTATGGTTTTGTTTTGAAAAGTATTTGACAGAATTAACTGAATGTTCATGTTTCTGTTTCATTTGGATTTTAACTGAATGTTTGGTTTCTGTTTCAGGGGAGGTAATTAAACACGGCTCCATTAAGTGTATAATGAATGAAGGTATGCCAATTTACAAGGACCCATTTGAAAAAGGACGACTTATAATCAAATTTAATGTAAAATTCCCAGAAAAAATAGACCCTGCTTCTGTCGGTCAGCTGGAGAAGATCTTGCCAGCGCGACAGGAAGTAATTATTCCAGACGGAGCCGAGGAACATGACCTTGTTGATTTTGACCCAAAGGCACAGTCAAATCGCCGACGAACAGAAGCTTACGGGGAAGAAGATGACGGTGACGGTATGGGAGGACAGAGAGTGCAATGTGCATCACATTAGTGTTAGACCAAGAGACATTTTATAAACGTACATTTTTACTTTTCCTTCGGCCATTGTGCAGATGTGTTTGATCTTGAAGAAAAACACAGGGGATTTCAAAGTGGATAAATGTCTATAAAGATGATGAAATAACTGGGTCATGTATTCATGAAACCATTTTCATGCTCGAGCATGGATTTTGCACTCAAACTTAATTTCTTTTTCCACCTGTTAATTATTAAAAAAAATCTTATTCTGTCAATGATTTGGGGGGGTAATGTGAAGAGTCTACGAGCTGAATACTGTTTTCAATGTTAACAATTGAGTTTTTGATCGTTTGACGTGATTTACAGTAAACCTACATACCCCAGAAAACTGGTTGGAGTGCAGATTCCATACTTGAGCATGAAAATTGTTTCATGAATATGAGCCCTAGTTGATTACACTCTAGAATAAGTGTCTCTAATATAGATAGTTATATCATGGTTAATTCCACTGTGTTTTAATAATATAGATGATTAAATAACCAGTGGATTTCACTGTGTGATAAATGTCTATAGTATAGATAATAAAATAACTGGTGGATTTCACTGTGTGTTAACTGTCTATAGTATAGATAATAAAATAACCAGTGGATTTCACAGTGTGATAACTGTGTATAGTATAGATAATAAAATAACTGGTGGATTTCACAGTGTGATAACCGTCTATAGTATAGATTATAAAATAACTGGTGGATTTCACTGTGTGATAACTGTCTATAGTATAGATAATAAAATAACTGGTGGATTTCACAGTGTGATAACTGTCTATAGTATAGATTATAAAATAACTGGTGGATTTCACTGTGTGATAACTGTCTATAGTATAGATTATAAAATAACTGGTGGATTTCACAGTGCGATAACTGTCTATAGTATAGATAATATAATAACTGGTGGATTTCACAGTGCGATAACTGTCTATAATGTAGGTAAACAACTTGTTCTGAATATTAATTTATATGTTATTGTGCCAGTGTCTGAGCAAACAGAATAAGATAAATAACTGAACACATTCTGATCACATGATGGGAAAATTGTCCTATACATTATATAATGATACGCTTTTTGAGAAGGACCTTCATTTTTCTGCATTGAAAAAACGATATACCAGTAGAGGCAAAAGCTATAGAAAATTGCTCTGATGTGCCAGAAATTAACTTTAAGTCCAAAATCCAAAACTACGGGGGTATATCTAGCTTATTGTGATATAGTGTTGTGTGTGCCAGTCAACCTGTGCAGGTCGGATATAATTAGACTTTTTTAAACATTTTAATTACACTACCTTTTTTTTTTTTAACATTGATAAAAACATCTCTTTATACATTAAATATTATTTTCACTCATTTTATTGTACTTTTAGCATTATTTCAGTAAAACAGCTTTTTAAGACATTCACCCCTAAAGTCACATTTGAACCTCACCAAATCAATGACTAGGCCATTCCAGTTTAGATATGAAGGGGTGATTGTGTTAAGACAAAGCCAGCATTGTCCATTAAAATAGATTAATACCATCACTCTGTCACAGGTAAATACTTTACCTGTATATGGTACAAAGGGTCACTCTGTCACAGGTAAATACTTTACCTGTATATGGTACAACGGGTCACTGTCACAGGTAAATACTTTACCTGTTTATGGTACAACGGGTCACTCTGTCACAGGTAAATACTTTACCTGTATATGGTACAAAGGGTCACTCACACCTGAAGGCTGCTGTCCAACTTTTGTTTCCGCGGAGTAGTGTTACATACTGTAGCATGTTACATATATACTAGGGTACTTGATAAGCCCAATGCCTGGGGTTTATCGATTAACATGTGTGAGGTCAATTGAGAACATCCTATATATACCATACAAATATAGGCCAGGTAGATTTTTCAAAGATTGTCTGTGGGCTAGCTAGTACTCTAAAATAAAATAAATTATACAGCTGTTGCATACAAGGAATTCTTCAGCATTGAACTGCTTTCAGTTGGCGTTCATATTGATATGGATACTGACTGCAGTGTGACACATTCAATATGGAGGTCTAGTGTTGTTTTGGATCCTGACTGCAATGTGACACATTCAACATGGAGGTCTAGTGTTGTTATGGATCCTGACTGCAGTGTGACACATTCAACATGGAGGGCTAGTGCTGTTATGGAATTTGTTGCATTCCAGTTGGCGTTCAAATTGGCTATTGAATACCGACTGAAAGCTGTTCAATATTTCTTTAATTTCATAGATAATCAGATTTATTTATTAATTTCAGAATTAACCTCAAGTAAATTTATGTACGGTGTAGGCTTGTTTAACAAATAGAACGGAGGGTCAGTGGTATCCATCTAAAGTTTAACTCAATCACCCCTGAAAACACATTTAAATGATGGAATAGTTTATTATGAAATTTCAGGAGTAAATGAGTTAATGATGACATCATAATGATTATGTCAACACACGAGTGATGTCATTCATAGCTTACGTAAATGCCATAGGTCTAAACTTGGTGGGTTGAATGAATTGAAGGCGTTTGAAAAGTGTTTTGCTTACAATTGTACAATGTATATAAATAATACAATGTAATACAAGAGTACAACATTGTATAACAGGTAATAAATAATACAAATGGTCAACAGATTACATACAGGTGTACTTAATGATATGTTACAGATGTGGGTATACAATTGTGTCAACGATTTTCTACCTGCGTACATATATAACACGTATAAAACTGACAATTCTAGGTAATATTTGTGTTTTAATGAAATATATGTCCATTCTTGTATACATGAACTGGGAATAAAGTAATGCTTTACATATTGGTTATTAGTTCATTTTGTCACAAACATTAACATGTTTTCTATCAGTTCCTAGCTATAGCCAGTGGGTGGTTGACACCAAACATTAACATGTTTTCTATCAGTTCCTAGCTCCAGTACTGTATAGCCAGTGGGCGGTTGACACGAGACATTAACATGCTGTCTATCAGTTCCTAGCTACAGTACTGTATAGCCAGTGGGTGGTTGACACGAGACATTAACATGCTGTCTATCAGTTCCTAGCTACAGTACTGTATAGCCAGTAGGTGGTTGACACCAAACATTAACATGCTGTCTATCAGTTCCTAGCTATAGCCAGTGGGTGGTTGACACCAAACATTAACATGCTGTCTATCGGTTCCTAGCTATAGACAGTGGGTGGTTGACACCAAACATTAACATGTTATCTATCAGTTCCTAGCTACAGTACTGTATAGCCAGTAGGTGGTTGACACCAAACATTAACATGTTATCTTTCAGTTCCTAGCTATAGCCAGTGGGTGGTTGACACCAAACATTAACATGTTGTCTATCAGTTCCTAGCTATAGCTAGTGGGTGGTTGACACCAAACATTAACATGCTGTCTATCGGTTCCTAGCTATAGCCAGTGGGTGGTTGACACCAGACATTAACATGCTGTCTATCAGTCCCTAGCTATAGCCAGTGGGTGGTTGACACCAAACATTAACATGGTGTCTATCAGTTCCTAGCTAAAGCCAGTGGTCGGTTGACACCAAACATTAACATGCTGTCTTATCAGTTCCTAGCTATAGCCAGTGGGTGGTTGACACCAGACATTAACATGCTGTCTATCAGTTACTAGCTATAGCCAGTGGGTGGTTGACACCAAACATTAACATGGTGTCTATCAGTTCCTAGCTAAAGCCAGTGGTCGGTTGACACCAAACATTAACATGTTGTCTATCAGTTCCTAGCTATAGCTAGGGGGTGGTTGACACCAAACATTAACATGCTGTCTATCAGTTACTAGCTATAGCCAGTGGGTGGTTGACACCAAACATTAACATGCTGTCTTATCAGTTCCTAGCTATAGCCAGTGGGTGGTTGACACCAAATATTAACATGCTGTCTATCAGTTCCTAGCTAAAGCCAGTGGGTGGTTGACACCAGACATTAACATGTTAGCTATCAGTTCCTAGCTATAGACAGTGGGTGGTTGACACCAAACATTAACACGTTTTCTATCAGTTCCTAGCTACAGTACTGTATAGCCAGTTGGTGGTTGACACCAAACATTAACATGCTGTCTATCGGTTCCTAGCTATAGACAGTGGGTGGTTGACACCAAACATTAACACGTTTTCTATCAGTTCCTAGCTACAGTACTGTATAGCCAGTGGGTGGTTGACCCCAAACATTAACATGCTGTCTATCAGTTCCTAGCTATAGACAGTGGGTGGTTGACACCAAACATTAACATGTTGTCTATCAGTTCCTAGCTATAGCCAGTGGGTGGTTGACACCAAATATTAACATGCTGTCTATCAGTTCCTAGCTAAAGCCAGTGGGTGGTTGACACCCGACATTAACATGTTGTCTATCAGTTCCTAGCTATAGCCAGTGGGTGGCTGACACCAAACATTAACATGTTATCTCTCAGTTCCTAGCTATAGCTAGTGGGTGGTTGACACCAGACAATAACATGCTGTCTATCAGTTCCTAACTATAGCCAGTGGGTGGTTGATGCTGTCTTATCAGTTCCTAGCTATAGCCTGTGGGTGGTTGACACCAGACAATAACATGCTGTCTATCAGTTCCTAGCTATAGCCAGTGGGAGGATGACACCAAACATTAACATGCTGTGAATCGGTTCCTAGCTATAGCCAGTGGCTGGTTGACACCAGACATTAACATGTTATCTATCAGTTCCTAGCTATAGCTAGTGGGTGGTTGACACCAGACATTAACATGTTGTCTATCAGTTCTTAGCTACAGTACTGTATAGCCAGTGGGTGGTTGACACCAAACATTAACATGCTGTCAATCAGTTCCTAGCTATAGCCAGTGGGTGGTTGACACCAAACATTGAGAATTTGTGTCAGAAAGTGACACAGAATTGATATCAAGTTTTGTACCATACCTGACAAACTGTACTTCTCATACAGATTTGTGACACCAAATACCAACTGGTATTAAACCAAGAGACCAAACCAAACCAAACCACCCTTATTCGTAGAATGGGATGTTTTACGATTGTTCAGTTGAGTCGAAACAAGACTAAGGGTAATTTTACTTTTTCAAATGAACTATAAAAGTATAAATGTGGCTAGATGTGTGTTCATTTCCTGTGCAGTGAATTTTGAGAGTGGACAATTCATGTCGGCCAATTCCACACAAACAACTGTGTCCAACGTAATGTACATATACACTTCAGAATAGTTGTAATATATACACTAATTAGGTATACACTTCAGAATAGTTGTAATATATACACTAATTAGGTATACACTTCAAAATAGTTGTAATATATACACTAAGTAGGTATACACTTCAGAATAGTTGTAATATATACACTAATTAGGTATACACTTCAGAATAGTTGTAATATATACACTAATTAGGTATACACTTCAGAATAGTTGTAATATATACACTAATTAGGTATACACTTCAGAATAGTTGTAATATATACACTAATTAGGTATACACTTCAGAATAGTTGTAATATATACACTAATTAGGTATACACTTCAGAATAGTTGTAATATATACACTAATTAGGTATACACTTCAGAATAGTTGTAATATATACACTAATTAGGTATACACTTCAGAATAGTTGTAATATATACACTAATTAGGTATACACTTCAGAATAGTTGTAATATATACACTAATTAGGTATACACTTCAGAATAGTTGTAATATATACACTAATTAGGTATACACTTCAGAATAGTTGTAATATATACACTAATTAGGTATACACTTCAGAATAGTTGTAATATATACACTAATTAGGTATACACTTCAGAATAGTTGTAATATATACACTAATTAGGTATACACTTCAGAATAGTTGTAATATATACACTAATTAGGTATACACTTCAGAATAGTTGTAATATATACACTAATTAGGTATACACTTCAGAATAGTTGTAATATATACACTAATTAGGTATACACTTCAGAATAGTTGTAATATATACACTAATTAGGTATACACTTCAGAATAGTTGTAATATATACACTAATTAGGTATACGCTTCAGAATAGTTGTAATATACACACTAATTAGGTATACACTTCAAAATAGTTGTAATATATATGCTAAGTAGGTATACACTTCAAAATGGTTGTAATATATACACTAATTAGGTATACACTTCAAAATAGTTGTAATATATACACTAATTAGGTATACACTTCAGAATAGTTGTAATATATACACTAATTAGGTATACACTTCAGAATAGTTGTAATATATACACTAATTAGGTATACACTTCAGAATAGTTGTAATATATACACTAATTAGGTATACACTTCAGAATAGTTGTAATATATACACTAATTAGGTATACACTTCAGAATAGTTGTAATATATACACTAATTAGGTATACACTTCAGAATAGTTGTAATATATACACTAATTAGGTATACACTTCAGAATAGTTGTAATATATACACTAATTAGGTATACACTTCAGAATAGTTGTAATATATACACTAATTAGGTATACACTTCAGAATAGTTGTAATATATACACTAATTAGGTATACACTTCAGAATAGTTGTAATATATACACTAATTAGGTATACACTTCAGAATAGTTGTAATATATACACTAATTAGGTATACACTTCAGAATAGTTGTAATATATACACTAATTAGGTATACACTTCAGAATAGTTGTAATATATACACTAATTAGGTATACACTTCAGAATAGTTGTAATATATACACTAATTAGGTATACACTTCAGAATAGTTGTAATATATACACTAATTAGGTATACACTTCAGAATAGTTGTAATATATACACTAATTAGGTATACACTTCAGAATAGTTGTAATATATACACTAATTAGGTATACACTTCAGAATAGTTGTAATATATACACTAATTAGGTATACACTTCAGAATAGTTGTAATATATACACTAATTAGGTATACACTTCAGAATAGTTGTAATATATACACTAATTAGGTATACACTTCAGAATAGTTGTAATATATACACTAATTAGGTATACACTTCAGAATAGTTGTAATATATACACTAATTAGGTATACACTTCAGAATAGTTGTAATATATACACTAATTAGGTATACACTTCAGAATAGTTGTAATATATACACTAATTAGGTATACACTTCAGAATAGTTGTAATATATACACTAATTAGGTATACACTTCAGAATAGTTGTAATATATACACTAATTAGGTATACACTTCAGAATAGTTGTAATATATACACTAATTAGGTATACACTTCAGAATAGTTGTAATATATACACTAATTAGGTATACACTTCAGAATAGTTGTAATATATACACTAATTAGGTATACACTTCAGAATAGTTGTAATATATACACTAATTAGGTATACACTTCAAAATAGTTGTAATATATACACTAATTAGGTATACACTTTAAAATAGTTGTAATATATACACTAATGAGGTATATACTTCAGAATAGTTGTAATATATACACTTATTAGGCGTTTATTCCCGTGCTTGACAATAGATTTACAGTCAAACCTGTCTTATGTGACCTTCAGAGGGAAATTCAAAATAAGGTCACATAAGACAGGTGGTCACTTAAGACAGGATCATTTTTTTTAAAGTAAGACATAAACAGTGTTTAAAGTGATTATATTTATTTGTGAAATATTTACGTAATAAAACAATTTGACATTTATAAGCATTATATATTAATAATTTATTAAATAGTGTTTTTTCTAAGATGAGCATGGTATTATTTGTTAAAAATTAACATATCTAAAACAATAAAACTT